AGCAAGCGACAACCGATAACTGAATGAATTTCCTTAATTATCTTTATGTCATCGGCATACAAAAGAAAAAAAAGAATTCCGAATTCTAGAAAAAACATCATTAACATAAATTAAAAAGAGAAGTGAGCCTAGTACCGACCCTTGAGGAACCCTACGAGTAACTTTTACAAAGACGTTTGGCCATTAACGACAACACAACATGATCTATCAAGAAGCTGGCTATGGAGGAGATTCACAATTGAAGAATCAACATCAAAGTGTGCAAGTTCATCCACAAGCAGCGAATGGCTGACAACATCAAAAGCTTTGCTAAGGTCACAGTAAATAGCGTCAACCTGTCCTCTCTGCGAAATAGGCGTAAAGACTTTCATCATGAAACTGCAAGATTAGCGACAGTTGAGTGGCCAGCGAGAAATCCATCGTGATTTACAACAACAACAACAACAACAACAACAACAACAACAACAACAACAACAACAACAACAACAACAACAACAACAACAACAACAACAACAACAACAACAACAACAACAACAACAACAATAATAATAATAATAATAATAATAATAATAATTACCTTATTTATTTTATATTATGCTCAGGCTTAGCACCGAGAAATGACGCTGGGCGACAGCAAGCACGATTACCCAGCGCTGTGCTATGCTTTATTTTTGTGTGTTCCGTCGTTCTACGTCGTTCCTTTGAAGCAATCCTGAAGAAAAGCAGTACCAGTCAGCCCACCGGTGTGTTTTGTTGAACTTGTTTGGCGAAACACTACAGCGCTGAACAAGATATAAGATGGGGAAAATAAACTAGTAAAAGGTGAGTTCCAATAAAAATATGAAAAAAATTCCGATAAGTAAAGCTAGAAAAGCAAGTTGCAGGTTTAGGTTCTTCTGACGACACGCATTTTTTTACTGAACGAAGCACGGCTGTGTTGGGAAGCCAGCACTGTTATTAAAGTGGCAACTTGTACCTCCAATCTTTTCGACCCACCTTACATCCTCTCCTTTTAACGAGATAGTGTTAGTGAGCTCGTTTCGCACGAATTCTGGTGTTGGCGTAGTTAGGTGAGCGAGATAGATAGATAGATAGATAGATAGATAGATAGATAGATAGATAGATAGATAGATAGATAGATAGATAGATAGATAGATAGATAGATAGATAGATAGATAGATAGATACGGTCAAAGTCGACAAAGTTCGCTAAGAAATGCTTCGCATTTAAAATTTGACGAAGAGTTTGTAAATTCTAAAGTTTGTTCGATGAAAGCCCGAGGCCATTGACCAACTATGACATGTCTTTTTGTGCATGTAAAGCGTTCGGGTGTTTAGTGTCGGGGAAGCCCACATTCCTGGGACAGGCTTCTCCGAACCGCTTGTCGTCAAATCGCTTGCCAGCGTGCCAGCCCTTCAGTGAAAGACCGTCGCGTTAGCTGGTTTCCGCTCAATCGCAAGTGCTGTTTGTCGGTAAATATGAGAACTACGCAGATAATCACTTAAAAGTTCGTCGTTGCCATCCATACCAATATGTTTGATTGAACAACCATATCAATGTAAAAGATAAAGTTTACTGGTATGTTACAGTTTGGGAGATAAAAACAGTAACACAATTGTGACTCTATGCTATGACCGTGGAAAAACTATGTGGGCATGATTAAGTAACTAAAGGTAGAACTCAAGGAAACATTTCATGAAGAATGTGAAACCCACGGGACGGCTTTTTGCTCTCCCATAATAGAGTACCTATATAGTACTCTAAATCGTTAACAACTCTTTCTAAACACAATGTGAAACCCACGGGACGGCTTTTTGCTCTCCCATAATAGAGTACCAAGTACTCTCAATTGTTAACAACCGAAAATTAGTGAACACTTCGTGTGAAATATAAGGCCCGCGGGACGGCTTTTTTTCCTTCCATCGCAGAGTACCAGGTACTCTAAATCGTTAACAACTTTTTTCTAAACTCACCGGAACAGCTTACGGATCTCCCATAGCGAAGCCGAGTCCGTAGCCAGTTTTTTTTTTTTTTTTTGCAGGTGGGGGGCGGGGAAGGCATCTGTTGAAGGCCTTGAAGAACATCTCTTTTTTATAAATGTCCTCGGTAAAGTACACTCCTCTGTGCAAAGTTGGGAGGGGGGCGATAGCTTCTCTCTTCCTCCTCCTAGCTACGGGCCTGGCTGTAGCAGATATAGTTACTCGAGTGTCCCCTATATGCCTTGGTCGTCCTCGGGCTTAACCTTGTGGACTTATGAGACGCGCACTAGTGGGTTGCCGGCAAAAACAATGTGTGGTAGCCTCTGAATATAATACGTTACTATATTAGACTACTAAGGACCGCAAAATTACTTTCTAGATTTTACAAAATTGCCAGTTGAACGAAATAATTCGAGCTCTGTCATCACTTCGTTAAATTGAGCTGCAACTGTATAAGGTTTATACAGCGACAGACAATGACACAGTTTATCTTTCAAATTCACTGATATGTAAGGTTTAACGTCCCAAACCCACCATATGATTACGAGAGATGCCGTAGTGGAGGGCTCCGGAAATTTCGACCACCTTGTGGTCTTCAACGTGCACCCAAATCTAAGCACACGGTCCTACAACATTTCCGCCTCCATCGGAAATGCAGCCGCCACAGCCAGGATTTGATCCTGCGACTGGCGGGTCAGCAGCCGAGTACCTTAGCCACTAGACCACCGCTGTGGGGCCTGTCTTTCAAACAGGTTCTTTTTTTTCTCGTCGTCATGAACCAACTAGCCAAAAATATGTGCACTTATTTCGCCCTCTCGGCCTAATATTCTCTCCGAAACGTTAAAGTTTTGAACTTACAGTGATAATAAATTAATACAGACCAGATGAAAATAAGGTTCGAAGAGAGGATAAGGAATATAAAAGAGCATATATAGATGGGCGGCGAGGGTAGAAGTGGTTCTAAGAGGGAAAAGAAGAGAAAAGTGAGCCCCGTAACTGTCTGCATCAGAGTGCGACACCTCAACAGTAGCTCACAAGGGATGGGGGTGAGGAAGGATTAAAAGGATAGGATTAAAGTTATATATATGTATATATAGAGAGAGATGCGCTGAGACAGTCAACGAGGACATATGAGGGATAGGAGAGATATGGAAGATGGAAACACGGTCACAGGAGTCCGAGGACGGGGCGCCATTCGCGAGAGCTCTTGGCAGCGTCAGGAGGTGGCGTAAGGCAAGTCCAGTAGGTCAGAGCTACGCTGACGTCGGAGATCGCGAGGGCACAACCGGTCTGCACGGAATCCTGCGAGCGAGTCTATGGGCAGAGAAAGTGTTCCGTTATTTCTATATATGGTAGAGCGTTGACACACAATGAAAAAAAAAATAAGTAAGAGGCTCACTAGCAAATATGCGGCTGGCAGTGTAAGCGATATGGCAGCAAAGATCGTTAAACAAAAACTCATACGGAGGCGGAAAGGATTTACTGGATAGCTGCGATGGAGAAAAATGGCCCTCAGTAACTATACCAAAAGGGCAAACAAATTAAGGAGGGAGGCAATTTACGATAATTTAGGGGGAAGCACTATGCTCTTTCAAGCGAGATTGGTTTGTCTGAAGACGCGAAGTTATAAAGCGAGATTCAGTAAAGACGAAAAAAGTACACGCTGTGAGCAAGATAACACGGATCATGTTCTTATCGTATGTGGAGATATTCCCCAATGTGTATACTCGGGCAAGAGCCTACATGAAGCCGAGGGTTTTATAGATAGCAATGGGAAGCCCGCGATAGAAGTAAAAGTTGCCCCGCCGTGGTGGTGTCAAAGCTACTTTGCTGCTGACCCGCAGGTCGCGGGTTCGAATCCCGGCTGCGGCGGCTGCATTTCCGATGGAGGCGGAAATGTTGTAGGCCCGTGTGCTCAGATATGGGTGCACGTTAAAGAACCCCAGGTGGTTGAAATTTTCGGAGCCCTCCACTACGGCGTCTCTCATAATCATATGGTGGTTTTGGGACGTTAAACCCCACATATCAATCAATAGAAGTAAGAGTATTCGTGGCAGAAATCTAGAAGGGAAAAACAAAAAATAAATAGTGAAAAAATAAATAAAGTCATTCTGCCGTAAGGGAGATAGGGCGGGGCTGTTAAGGCATTAGGCCAACTTAAAAAAGGCTTTTTTTTGTTGTCGAGCCTGACGCCGCACATATAACCACCCCGTTATTAAGGGCACGCTCATAGCATCTATTCGTCCATCCATGTGCCGGCTTTGGCGGCTCCTTTGGTTTTCTCCCATCGTGGCTGAAGAAGTCGGTTGCGTGCGGCGATGACATCCCATAGGCCGCTTTTTTAACAGACAGCATGCTGTTTGCTGGCTCAGGCGATATTAATTACTTTTAATTTACAACTAATAGATGTGATGATGTTCGGAGATGTGTTAGGTAGTTTGATTGCTTGTTTTTTGTCATCCATGACTGTTTTGATGAGTAGGACTGGCAGTATAGTTTTGCACGATCCTAGAAGCAGCTGAACACCGCGAGTAGTAGAAGGAAAAAATGAAGAGAGGGTCGTCGTATTTCCCTTGTAGTCCCCTTGTGTTGCGATGGGGGCTACAAAAAAAAAAACAACAAAAAACACTTTTCTTCTACAAGCGTAGGTCCAACTTCCGCAGGTGCTGTTTTTTCCTTGTTTTCTTTTTTTTTTTGGTCGGCAGTCATGACCGAGTGTCTTTAACATTTTTGTTTAGCAAAAAAAAAATCATGTTGGACGAATAACGTGAGTGCATTCGTTGCATAAAAACGCACCATCGTTTTATCCTGTTGTTTAGCACCCAACCCGTCGTCACTTTCCTCATCATTTTCCTTTTCACTGTGTTTTCATAAGCGCCACCTAGTCACTGTTAGATGCTTTAGGTGGGTTGAAGTTTCACCAAGATGAGAAGGAGTTAGCACAGCACACTTATTAGACGACAGATTCTGTGCCGCTTGAAAAGGACAGCTTTTTGACATTTTTATTTTCCTTATACCTTTTTATTATTATGCACTTGTGGAGTATTTCGTCGATGGCCGCGGGGGCACCCTCACGCTCTTCGCAAGTTGCTGCTGTTCTTGACATTGCTGCTGCTGGCCGCTGCATTTTCATTTTTTCCCACTGAATGAGGAGCTTACGTAGTAGAGGTAGCACCCTGGAAACAGTAAGAGTGTCCACATTTAGGTGACAGCGTGGAACGCTTCTCTCTCTATCTCTATTTTTAGTAGGTAAGCATGTACAGAGATTCGAAGTAAGCCATTCTTATGAAAGAGACGAGAGTGCACGCTGATATGAGACGAAAGCGATAGTCAATGCATTCAAATACTATTCTCATGAATCTAACCTTACTATTATGAAACAATAGTAACAATAACCATTTACGCCGTGTTTTTACGCCGTATCATTTCGTCACACCAAAATAATAGTGACCTATTCAGCTGCTGTGTTGCCTATATTGGTATTCTACGCATTTTAATTGCTTTATTGTATATTTTGTATATGTCTAGGTATAGTCAATCCAAACATGCACGTTATAAGTAATACATTTTTGTGCTTACTAAGTTGCTTTGTCCGATTCCGATAAAATCTCTCTCTCCCCCCTCCCCCATTCCATACTTTCGGGCCTTCTCCAGAAAATGTTGCACCTTCAGACATACGTTATATTTGCAATCCGGTGTATAAACTTGAAGTTAACAAAAGCAAAAAAAAAAAAAAAAACAAAGCTTGAAACTTGAACGTTGAAGTGTGTGGTATACATTAAAGGACCCTGTAACACTATCAAAAACGGAAAACTCTTAAGAGTGACTCCGAATACTTCCGATGGGTAAACTCGGAAATCAGTTTTTTTTTTACGTTTGTTCTCGCCATTCATCATGCCCCACTGCGGTGGTATAGTGGCTAAGGCACTCGGCTGCTGACCCACAGGTCGCGGGATCAAATCCCGGCTGCGATGGCTGCATTTTAGATGGAGGCGGAAATGTTATAGGCCCGTATGCTCAGGTTTGGGTGCACGTTAAAGAACCCCAGGTGATCGAAATTTCCGGAGCCCTCCACTACGGTGTCTCTCATAATCATATCGTGGTTTTAGTATGTTAAACGTCACATATGAATCAATTTTGCCATTCATAATGCCGAAGAAGAGTTTCCTTTCAGTACTGAAGGCGCTGATCGGTGATAGCAATGACAAGTGTCCATTGCTCCCGGTTTTTTTTTATCATGGTCACGGCCGCAGAGGAGATGGCGAGTGCGCTCGTAAACGCGTTATTTGCCATAGAGATTTCCAAGAAACATATGTGAAACATACTTTTCTTTTAGTGCTAAAGCAACTTAACTGATCCAAGGATTGGTGCAATTTCTATGCAGAATTGAAGTGCGATGAATCCGGCTAATGAAACTTTTCGCGCGTATGGACCAAATAACTTGGGCAAGCTGCACTATACTCATCACTCATTAACTAAAAATGAGGAAGTGAACACACACGGGTGGCCAACACCAATTATAATTTCTGAATTCGCGTTATAAATAATTGAGGAAGACAATAATGAACTTTCATGAACTAAGAGCCGCGGCGCATGCACGCTACAGCTTCGCTGGTTGGCTATCTGTGTACGCAGTGCTTGGGTGGTAATTAAAAAAAAACAGTTGTTTTTTAAAAGTATTCCTCGAGTACACAAAGACGGAAAACAATTGATTCCTTACAAAAACTGAAGTTTGGGCTAGCTTGTTGGTGTTCATTACTGGCCGCAGTGCTGTAGTGCACGACAGCCCGTGCAATCATGCGCGGTACAGTGCAACGAAATGGTGGAAATCGCAGCGCAAAAGAAAGGGTTAAGACCTGCCCATCCGACGCAAAGAATACGCGATCTGCTTGTGCAGATGAGACGGCTAGACATATTTTTTAACCTGAGGTCATCCTTCAACTACGCGCCTTTCTTCAAATTTCGCTTCTTTTTCCACATGGGCCCCGTCGCCTCTTTTGCGCTTCCTTCGCCGCTTGCAGCGTTGAAATACAATTTCGATTATCTCAAATTATTCGTATTTGTGTCGCTTTCACGAGGCGATACGCACACACCATAGGCTGCAGTGACACTTGTATCAATTGCGAGCACTGTCAGTATACAAAAGAAACAAGAGCCACAAAAAGCACTGCGATTGCTTGACAAGGTGACTGCGAACCGTGAGCCTCTGTAATGCCGTGTAGACCTCCGCTTCTGTGATGTCGGCGTCATGTTCTGGGTTTGAGGCCCCAGTGTAAGACGCGAGAGGGGGAGAATGTAAACTAGGAGTCACAAGCTGGAAGTACTTCGCAGCCAGGTCTGCCATCAGCGACGGAGTGTCACCGGTGTAGGCCCAGACCACTCGTTGTATATAGTGGCTGCCGAGCGACAGGCTTGGCGGAAGCAAAGTCGAGGAGGTCGCGAATGAGATGCCAACATTGTTCGCAGCCTAACTGACCGAATAGCTCTGAGAAAAGTTGTTCCCACTGTTGGCGTGCAAGCACGGTGGTGTGTTGCTCAACAGCACGATTGAAGTGTGCGGCGGCGTAAGCGGTGGCCGTGACGTTGCTTATGCCAACGGTTGGTGATTCCCGTCGAGATCCGTAAGCAGCTGGTCGGTCGAAAGGTCCTCGTTGTCGGGGGCAGCGGAGTACAGCCGGCGTTCTCGGAACGCGTCCTAATCTGTGTGGTGGATTGTGCGTGGGTGCGGCTTACCAGAGGGAGCTGTTCCACCGCAGGTCGCGCATGCTGTAGAAAAAGCTCAGGGGCAGTGTCGCGGCACACTGTTGCCGATGCGGGTTGGCTGTGTGCTATCAATGAGCAGAGAAATGTTGCGGTCATGAGCGAGCTTCCACAGCCCCCTTTCGGGACCCCTTGTGGTAACCCCAGTCTGGATACCTTACGTTGAAGTCGCCGAGAATAAGAAGGGGGATATCGCTACTTTTGTTGCAGTGGCACGAATCAGGGCGAGAAGTGACGCATCTTTAGTGGCACAAGGGGGCTTGCACACATTGAGAATGAAAAGGGAGGGCTGCTCACGTCGCTCAGGTAGTACCTCGAGAAAAACGTGGTAAAGTGCAGGAAAGGTCAGATCGGCTTGACTGACAACGAGCGTCCGCGAGGTGAGGATGACTGTGACAGGATAGGGCCCATGATCATGAGCTACTTGGTTGTGGGAAACGCAACCCGAGAGGGAAACGTTGGCGTGAGTTTCCTGTAGTATGCTGATATCAGGAAAGGCCGAGAGGCCTATTTGTTGAAGCTGGAGAAAGAGGTCGTTACTCTTGTGACGAAAACCATGGCAGTTACACTGCCAAATGGTGACGACGGATCGGTCAGCCATTTTTGATAGCGGATAGCACTGCCTCGGTCGAAAATGGCAAGGATCGGGCTGCGGAGGTATAGGTGGTGCGGGCATGGAGTGGTGGCTTGGCTCAGATGTTTTCAAGCATGGTAGTTTGTAGGGTGTCAACTGTCGGTTCGAAAAACGTGGCGGGGGGATAAGCGGCAAAATCTGTGCGCAGGGACTTTAGAGCTTCGTATTGTGCAGTGAGAAGCTGGTGGACAGAGGTGAAGCGGCTTTCCAACTGTTTTTGAAGATACACTAGGGCCGTCTTAATAGCTATCTGGATCTCTTCGGAGAGGTGGAGAGATGTAAGGGGACGTTCGGTCTGCGGCGCTTGGTAGTGTATATTTAAGGGGTGTGCACGTGCATGTCGGAGGATGAATCGATGGCGGCGGAAGGAGGATGGCACTGTGACCGCTGATTTCAGCTTCTCCTAAAGTGCATGCAGTTGCGCTTAAAATGAATCAATTAGTGACTTCTGAGCAGCAATTTGATCGTTTTGTGCATTGAGCTGCTGTCGGAGGGAGGCGTTTTCTTGCTGTAGTGCAACAACCTGCGGTTCCAAGGGTGAGCCGGGGGCACCGCGGGCCGACGACGAATGCGTATACGCTGAGAGGCGGGTTTAGGCAGCTCTGAAACGAGGGATGGTAGAGCAAGGATCTACTTGAGGGTAGAGCTGATGAGGAACCACATGCCGCTTGCTGGGACGAGTGCGCGGCTGCTGTGAGTGCGACCGGTTGTCGTGGCGAGTGGTGAGTTCCGGGTACCGGGGCCTTCGGGCGCTGAGGACGCTGCACGTAGCGGTGTTTACAGTTACAAAAGTGCGTCGAGTGATCCCCGTTGCAGACGATGCAGCGGGGGATGGAAGTGAGTGGCAAAAGAATGGGGGTTGAGAACCACCGCAGTGACGCTGCTGCAGCGGTTTGGGGCAAACGTCGGTCCCGTGGTCGGTCGAACGGCAATTGAAGCAGCTAGGTTTGCACCTTATGGCGGAACGGAAGAAGGTGAAGCCAGACATTTACCCCGGTAGAAAACCCGCCGGAGTAATTTCGGGTTTATGAGGGTAACCAAGATGTGAGGGGACTTGTACATACGGCGACCGCCCACAATAGAGAGGGTAGGACTGCTTACCTGGAGGTCGTCAATGGTGGCTTGGTTCGTGACGTCGTCGAAGGTGTCGTGAAGTATGCCCATCTGGGCATCATCTGGCGGGGAGGGGGGTGTAGATGTGGACGGTGAAGCTGTTGCCAAGAGCCGTGAGGGTGGTGATGCGGAAGTAGGCTTGAGCACGAGCCGAGTCTGCGACACTGAGCGTAAAGGTGTTGTTCGCAGGGTGGATCCGCACCGTGTCGCAAGATGCGGGAGGGAGGTCTTGCAGGCACGCTGCTTGCAGCATGGTGATCTACAAGTGCCAAAGCTGGAGCTTGGTAAGTTCTACAGGGCGTTTTGGGCTGCCAACAACGTGAATCGTGTCAGCCGGGAGACGAGGAAGCGGGGCGCGGTGGTGGGGCTGTGGAGGCGAGGCCCCTGCTCACTTCTAGTGGGGCGACGATGACGGCTGTGTAGTCGACGTGGCTGGCTTAGATGTGGCGGCGGCGGCAAGGCGCAAGGCTGCTCGGCGTTGCTCTTGGGTGTGGAGGCCTGGCGACTGCCAGGATTTGTCCGATTGTTCTTCTGGGTTGACTTCCTGTTCTTTGACAGTGTACTTCATAGCGGTGACAGCTAGGAGATGGGCCACGAGGCAGCGGTGGCGGCCGGGTAGTCCCATTGCCGATGAGCTGAAATGCAGGCGGCCGCACTTGAGCTAAGCCT